ATTGAGTACATTATAGTCAGTGTGAATAATGTGTCCATTACCCTTAAGGTTTTTGCTTTTAATTTTCAGTCTTCTTTTTTCCACGCCCGGTTGTTGTTTCCGGCCGAATATATTAGCAGATTTTTGGCAGGAATCTGTCCCCCCCTTTTCGTGGCCGGCCCTCCGAACTGAAGAAACCAGGTACTCGTCCAAATGCAGCTGCTCACTGTTTCCCGTTCCTCATGACTTGTAATCTAAACCTGCGCCATATTTCCAAGCCTCAAGACGTCGCTTCCACTCGTACTTCGCCTGGGTTGGAAGTGTACTCAAAAAAGACCTTGTGAAATATGCAACAAGTGACAGTGAGATATACATTCTGCTAACATATTTACCATGACCATCGATAATTATTTACCTTACTACAGGGTCAGCAAAAGTTGAGAGAAACGTGTAGTACCCCAGCATGGAAAAATGTCCAGACCAGTCAAGAAGCACAGGAATTCCAACCTGAAACACGAGGAATTCTACCTGATAACTGAGACTGCTTACCGAGTTGTATAGAGGAATTTGGTTTACGCATTATCACATCAAAAACAAAAAACAGGAGTTCTTAACTCATTGATTACCTGCTTGAAGATTGATGGAATGATTTGAGGTTTAGTTAACATGACTAGGCCTAATGTCTTGGCAAGAGGTCCAAATTGTACAACATCCTGTCGCAATACACGCTTATATAGTTATAATCTCTCACACTACATCAAGTTCAGCCAACTTGATTCCCATTTCAAATCAAATGAATAAATCATAAGGAAAGAAAATTACTTGAAGAAATGGTCTTAGGACTGGATCCCCGAGCCTCTGAAGAAAGCAAGCAAAGAAAATTTAATAACAGAATTAAAAACTTACTCAACTGTGTTCCATATGGACAGTCCTACCTGCATGCTTTGAAAATTGGTGTAAAGGAGCTCATTGATGAAATCTGGCGGAACATTAGACTCTTTCTTTGCAGACATTGCTCTTTGAAACAACCATGAAGAACTTAAGTTGGGCTGCACTAAACAGATATTGAATCAAAATCAGATAATCATGAGAAGAAAGAAAAATCCAGGGTTACTGCTTTGCCAGTGATCATCAAAGACACCAACCATGTAAGGGTTCAGAAGCGACAAGTTGTACGAGTCAAGAAGATTGTCGCTCATTGCTTCATATATTCCTTTTCACCAATGAAAAAAGATGGATCCTATTAAGTTTAATCTCGTACTAAAATTTGCACAGGTTATCATTTTTTGGACACAAAATAAACAAAGCTCCCATGTAAGTGCATACCGTTTGACAACCTGTTGAGGTGCCTAGTCAAGCTTCCGAAACCACCAAATGAAACGGGTGATTGTATTCCGCTAGCATCACCAAACTGCATGAGAATCATTTTATCACACCTTCCCCTTTTGGTATTCTACCATAATCTATAGGTGGTTTTGTAAGGATATAAGTTACCACCTGTAAAACCCGATTAAAAGCTGCTGGCAGCGGGCTGTCAAGTTCGTCGTTCCCAGTTAAGAATTGAAAGGTGTCAGATACAAAAATTAATCGAGTGTATTCTAACTTGAGAGAAGTACGAGAATATTTCGCTTCTTTGGAATGTGAACAAAATCTCGTTGCAGTTCAAGCAATAGTTTGCATTATTACAATTTACCTGTCACGATATGTAGGAAAAATACCATATAGCACCCTCTGTATCTCCAAGTCATCAAGAGAGACTTCCTACAAATTATTTGTGCGTGGTTAAAACTTGAGCTATAAGGTGAAATGAAATAGCATCTGAACTGGAACGCTATTTTAATGTCTAGAATGGAATTGAATCAGGCCTCATCTGGAGGGTTCTCTAAGCTCGAGAGGCTGGATTAGAACCGAATAACACTAGGGATATTTAGTTCTTTGAACACATAAGTTCCATGTGATGCCCTATGAATGTTTAGAGATGCGAGACAATTATCGGAAGTGCAATGCTCAAGATCTTGGATAAGAGACACGAGGACGAACTAACCTGATACTCTGGCATCAATTTCCAATATTCTTCTAACAGTTCCTCTATCTTTGGCGATTGGGGTTGAGGAGCAAGATAAGTGAACATATAAGTTGTGCGATCTGTAGGACCAGAACCAGCTGGAAATGCCTGTGAAATGTTTAGATAGACTTGAATCTGATAAGCAAAACATCTCCTCTTGACATTACAAGCTACCAACCACAAAGTCAAGTTACCTCCCAAAAGAGTTGGGCTTCTGAGCTCCCGACCTTCCTTGCCAATGAACTGCTATATATAACATCACTGGTAGAGTTATTTGTAAATCCACGAGCACAGGATCCAACAACAACACAAACTCCATCTGGCTTCCTTCCGGATCTTATCTGCCAATTAAGCCATCAATGAGACTCAATTTTAGCCCGGATTGTCCGTATGCATTAAAATCTGCTACCTAAGTTTGACATCAAATAGACACAAGAATAAAAACTGTTGGTACATTGATACATGAGGATCAAGAAATTGTGATTAGGTCATCATTCTTTCTATAAATATAACTAACAGTGAAGAAGTTATGTGTTTATACTTTTACAATCTTCAAACTCTAAGGATTAGTTGCTTATTTAAAAAATGCACTCGTACTCCAATTATGCAGAAACATAGAAAACCGACCTGTTTTACAATTGGAGAGAAATTCCCCATTGCATCAATTATGAGGCGAGACGACAAAATCTTTTCCTCATTGAGTTGTAAGACCTGTTGAGAAAATTGCAAGAGGAATTCATGCTAGTCATTAGCTCATTAATCTTCAAATATCGTATGTGCTTATGCAATTGTCAAAATACATTCAACCTCTCGAATAATAGTACAATATGTCGTGACAATTTTAATCGTTTGTGTTTTAACAGGTTACTAGCATAATTTAGATAGTTTGTAAGAACCATAGTTGGCCTTTCTTGTAACATACAACTCGTAAAATTTAACGCACTAGAACGAACTATATGGAATTTGTTAGAAACTCACAGCTGCATCTTCATAAATGCTGATGCCGGAGACACTGCAGCCTTCAAACATGACTCCACCTAGAGAAGTAAAACGATTCTTCACAACCTCTATAAGCTTCACTGGCCTGTGATTATAGAAAGGGCGATTCAGAGTAAAGTTTTGAGTTGCAGAACCATCATTCTTTTCCTGTCATTGCTCATAATTCTATCGCTATAAAAAAAACTAATGCAATTTACAGGAAGAAGAGAACTCACGAAACACCAAGATTGAGAATATCTTCAACCCAGATATCACCCTTCCCCTCAAAGCCGCATCTGTTCTGATCAGTACATCAAATGCCAAGAAATAGTTGACATAAATAAACCACATAGTATGAAAGTTGATTGTGTAACACAACCTCCGGCATACTACTCATAAAATAAGCACTGTTTAGGTAGGGATGAACCCCTCTTAAATTTAGTTGATCTTACAAACCGTTAGAAATGTACTGTAGTCAAAGAACTTACAGGGTTGAATTTAGCTGCAGTAACTTCTTCAATGTCACCTTCTAACAGAACTCCGATTTCTACAAGTTCCATGAGCTCTTTCCTTGAGATATTCCATTCCTGTTCCCTCTGATCATTGATCACCAAAATATCCATAAGCAATATATAATACAGTACATTATATTCCAAAATAAACTTCACAGTACAATTTCTTACCCCCTTTAGCACATTTCTTTCGACAATCCCTACTCGAAGACCTTTGGCGCACAAGGCTGTAGCAATGAAGATTCCCAAAGTTCCACCACAGATTAACACATCAAATGTATCAACCGCTTTGTTAGCCAGATCAGAATTGCTAAAGAGTCCAGGAATGCTCGAAACCACTTTCTTTGGTTCTTCCACAACTACAGGATACATGTCAAAATCACCAACATTTCACCAATTTCGCATACATTTATCACAATCAAATACGAGAAAACTGATGAAATAGCATGCACTCCACCTGTTTGTGCAGAGCAAATAGTAGACCAAACTTGGTCCAGCCTCTTCAAGGCACTGTATGAATATGATCCACCAGCACCACCAACTTCCCCACTCACTGATATACTCTCCATTATCCTCTACACTCAAAATTATTAACTTCAAACAATCATTTACTCAGTTTCCATCCAATGATGCAATTCAAGCTTCCAAAACAACAAGAAGAGAAAAATCTGTGCATAAATTCTCTGTGCAGGACGTCCGCCCTTTATTAAAGAACAAAACGCGCGTAGATATTATCGAAGGAGATTTTTTTGGCTCCTTCCCAATGAAATAGGAATTTGTACATTTATGCCAATTCCAATTTGATATGCGTGCAAAAAATTCTCTTTACGTGTTTTTGATGAATTACTTGTCAATGTTTCAGACTGTGATTTGCAGGAACGAGGAATGACTCATTCAAGCAGTGTCCTTACCAGAAACATGTCAGTATATTTTGTTCGTGACAATAATATCGACAGATTGGCGATGACATATTCATAGTCTATCGTTTAATAAAGAACAGACGTCAGTTCCGTACCTGAACTAACACACGCAAAACAAAGAAACGAAATTTGGAACTTAAATACAAGGGGTACCTGAGTTCTGGAGGGAGGGGCCTGAGTCTGCAAGCAGAGGCATCTTCGAGCTCTTGCACTTCTTCTCCGAGCAAGTAGTGGGCCCTCCTTTGTGCTCTGAAACAATCCATTGACGGATTGAAGCTGAAGCACCACCATCACTCCTGAAAACTACGTACAGAACCAACTCCTCTCACTTCCGCATCTGACGCTAAAAGCATGTCATATCTAAAGTCGTCTGAAGCCCCAGAAATGTATCCGTCCCAGGACTCGACACGTTCACAAATAACGACCAAACCAACTTCTTTCACTTTTCATTTCTCGAAAAAGAAAAAGAAAAGGAAACTGAACTAGCCAGTTCCCGGTCAAATCTGTAGGTTGGTGCGGGTGAGGAAAAGTTGGTCACGGGTGTGTGACCGAATCAAAGTCCTTGTAAGCAGTGGTAAATAATTGGGGTATTGGATAAACCTTGGAGGAGGGGTTGGGGTTTTTGTTTCAGAGCTCTTCCTGCTTAGTCTCTCACTGTTCTCCTCTGAATTTGAAGGTTGCATCTCAACAGGTAAAATCCCATAACTTTCTCATCTGAATTTAATTTCCAAATTATGCTGTTTCTGGGTTTTGTTCTATTGGATGGAGTTTTTTGCTTACTGGGTTTCACTTAATTTGGAAGAAAAAAGAAGAAAAAAACAAATCTTGAGAATCAAAGTTGTATAATTTGTTTGAAATATGGATTAGGGATTAGGGATTTTAGTCCAAATATCTGATTTCTGTCATTTTGTGTGGTGCGTGTTGAGAGCGTGAATCATCATCGGAGAGTAAGCATTACATAATAGTTTAAATTTGAGCGTCTCCTCACGTTGCCAATTGATTTTGCGTTGGATGCTCACTTTCTAATAGAATGTTTTGGAGCTGTTAATGATTGCTACAATTAGTCGACGACATAGAATTTCTGGGGAAAATGTGAGATTTTGAGACCACCAAGAAGCAGCATATTGCTTACTTGTACTCTCTTTGCATTTGGGATTTGGGATTTGGCTATCCAGAGCGATTACGTTAGATCGAGATATCATCTTGTTGGTTTGCCTTTGTTGATTAATTGTGCAATGCCGCATTGTTAGCAGGCAATCAAGGCAGATAAGACATGGCAAGTGTGATCATGGCCCCAACTTTCAGCTCACTCTCAGTCAGCAGAAGTGGCAGAGATTGGAGCGAGCGGAGTAGTGCTAATGCACAACCTCGCGGTATGAAAGTGAAGGCAATGCGAATAGAGAAACCTCTGGAGGAACTGTACCAAGTAAGAGTGGAAAGAAGGGTGTCACAGGAGAGACTAGCACAGCTTGGAGTCTCGAGATGGTCAATGTGGAAGACGGGTAAGTGCAAGCTGCCGTGGGACTGGCAGGTGGACCAGCTGGTTTACATTGAGGAAGGAGAGGTGAGAGTCGTGCCTGAAGGCAGCCAGCAGTACATGCAATTTGTGGCAGGAGATCTTGTTCGTTATCCCAAGTGGCTGGAGGCTGACCTCTGGTTCAATGGTCCTTACCAAGAGCGTTACAGTTTCCGAGCCTATGGCGATGATTAGTATTGTTGAATTTTGTATTTCAACATGATATGTACGCTCTTTGGACTAGATTTGTAGACTTCAAGTTCGTATTTGATACTATTTTCACATGAACTGCAAACATTTTTTCTGCATCAAGTTCGCAACTGCTTAAACAAGATTTTTGACAGACCCATCTTCTGGTAATCCCTGAAGCACAAAGCCATGCTTCGCCGAGGACAACATTTGGGTCGCAAATCTCCGCCATACCTTTGGTGCGAAGCGTAGTTAAAGAGAATAGAAAGGAGAAACCGCAGCATCAAAGATCCGGGATAGAATAATTTCTTATTGAACAACAAAATCTACCATTTCTGGCATGATGAAGTACAAATTTCCTAAACAAGTATCAAGCCTACGGCTCTAAGAATGCAATCCGTAAGCCGGGACGGTGTCAAGCACCGGACTACGGAAACATTTCCGAGAGACAGAATACATTGCTTTGGTTGAAAATTGAAACAGAAACAGAAACAGAAAAATGTAAACTTTTCTCACCATTATACAACAAATTTGATCATCAATCTAACATGTAATAATCACTCATCCCTATAACAAATTCTTTATATTACACACACCTCCATGGCTGTAGAGGGTACAACACTCTTTCCTCCGATTATGACTGATTAGGGAAAACAGAATTTGTGAGTCGCGAGGGTCTCAACTCAACCACCTGAAGAAGCCCGTGGTTTTGGGTTAGTAGCAATGGCAACGGAGGAAGTAAATCTTGAGACAAGCACAGCCTCATTGCCCAAAGCCTTGGAGGCAGCCACATCTTCTAACCGTTTCCACGTTGATTCACGTTTCTCCTGTGTTTCTTTCTCTTTGGATTCATCTTCTTGGAAGCCGACCAAGCACTCATCAAAGAGTTCTTGATCAACATCTGAGAATATCTTTTTCACATTCAGTGTCAAACTCTGAACAGCTTGATTCCAATGACTCCGTGTGTTTTTCTCCAGGGCTGGGAAGATTATTGGCAGAATCACTTGGCGATTCTGTGTGATCAAATTTCTTATGTGATCGTTATTCCACAAAAACAATGCACGTTCAGCTACCTGCCAGTGGAAAGCACGTTAAGACAACTTCACATCAAGTAAAACTAAAGTGACAATCCAAATTTCAGATCATTGTAATGAACCATACATATATACCAAATCTTGCACACCAAAACCATTTGCTGTCCAGTTTCCTAAATAGTAAATACCAAATTGTATCTACGTAAGAAAAGGTACTTAAATCAGAAATTCACACGGACTACCATGAACAGCAGAAATTCTTATCACCATCAACCTACTGTGCGCCAGCAAAACTTACCAACAAATGACACCTAAAGTTCTCAACTCAAATGATTTCTAATCTTCCACCGCCATTCAGAACCCATATTGCTCTCCAACTCAAGGGAAATCTCAACTTACTACTTTGTAAAGCAAATATGAAGTTGTTCATTAATGCACCATTATACTTAGGTGTAACTTGGACAACCCGTCTAAACCAATTTTGACAACTAGCACATCACCCCGGTTCCAATGAACCTGAACCACAATCTGAAGTAACCCAACAGTTCTGACAACGGGAATTCTATAATTGTCACTCAACCAAGTGGTGCAGATAAAAAATGCAAAGCGATTTCGTGAACAAGTATGCAAAAACTTGATTTGAAAGGAAAGACACAGAAATTTACAGATTTGTTGAAGACAAAAATCTCCAAAAAAATCAAAAGCCTCAAGCTTTAACATATCTAGTACATCTCACAAAACCAACTGGGTGACCAGTTCAAAGGGCAACCGTATGAGAATCTATAAAATTCATCATGCTGAGAAACATTACGCTGGAAGAAAGACATTGAAAATGGACAGCCATCAGAAGTATTATTTGAAAAGTACCTGAAAATGTGAGCTGTTTAGGCAGTTACCAATTTGACGGAATAAGGGGACCATGCAGCGCTGAAATTCTGATGGCTGTGTAGCTTCCAGAACCTCTTCCAATTCACCAAGGAACATAACTTCCTTTGAACTATTCGTTATGGGCCAATACTTCAGCAGTCCTCGAATCACTGTATCTGCCAGCTTGGCATCTTTCTCCACAAACTGACTAATGCAATATGAGAGTTGCTGATGGTACATAGATACACACTTGGGCTTGTGAAGAGGAATCAAGGCACGAACAAGGAACAGCTTGTGCTCTTCCTTCAAAGGCAAAGCAAAACCATTGATTATGCTGCCTAAGATTTCAAGCAATTCCGCAATCCCATTGTGCTTCTCAGTCTCAAAAATGAACCAGAAGAAGATGTTGTTAATGGATTTCCTAATGAACGGTCGATGCACCATGAACTTCCCATAAATGCGATGGAGAATCGTCTTTAAGTATTCCCTCTCTCTTTGGTCCTCAGAGTTAAACAAATCAAGCAACTTCAACACAAACGAATGATCAATATATCTTTTAGCTAGCTTGGCATCGATCTCTGGAGAAGCCACAAATCTTAATAGACATTCATACACAATCTGCAGATGAGGCCAAGCTGGTTCCAACATTTGGTCCTCCTCGTCTTGGTCATAAATTTCAGGACCCTTGTTATCAAGATTGGAAGACGAAAATGTACGAAACAGATTGGTCGCCACCATCTTTGTAATCTCTTGCATTGCCACCTCATTGAACTTCGATGTTACTGATGAAATGTAATCTACAAGTTCAAGCAAAGTTTGCCTCTTGACGTCCTTCTCCTTGAGATTCTTCGAGGGATCATTAAATTCAAAAACCACACAACACATATTCAACTTCTTAATAAAATAATTCTGCCTTTCTGAACTTGGAACATCCTTGAAGCTCGGCAGAGCCTCGTATGCACCCGCTGACAACAAAGGACCTGCTTGAGTTGCAAGGGGAGCTGATTTCTTTGAGTGATTCGATTTAACCCCGCCTGAGGAGTGCGCGGTAAGAACTCCATTGCTCGAACGAGAATTGCCCGAACCCAAATTCGAAAATTTTGACGAAGAAGAGCTCGATTTTGAGCTGTGGGATGAATTTGGGCCATTCCCATTTGCCCCTCCGTCACTATACGCATCGCTTTGCGATGATTTCGAGGGTTTCCGAGGTATTTTACCCCATATATTTTTTATCATATCTACAAAACCTTGACCCTAAACTTCTGTAAAGACTAATCGAGCTTTCTAGCTCAGAACCGAATTCAGATCATTGGCATTCCCAAAATCCAACAATCTAATCCACACGAAAGGTCACAATTTATGAACAGAAACAAAAACGCTATCAGAGGAACATGCCCTTGCCCTAGACGATTCATCCGGGCACGAAATCCTCATAATTCCGGACAAAGAATTCAAATTGAAGGGAAAAAATTGTGGGTTTTGAACAGATTGAAGAGATACGCAAGAAAAATCGACTTACATTGACTGCGTAAGCAAAGGGATCCGAGAAAGTGCGAAAAAACGTGTGAAAATGTGAAGGAAGACCTGGAAAAATCCGAGCCGCAAGTCTGGAAGTCGGGTCTTCAGCTGATAAAACCCCACAATTTGAAGAGAGAGAGGCAAAAGGGTAAAGCCAAAAGAATCATAGTTTTAAAAACAAAAAAAAAAAAACGGAAATAAAATTGTCTGGTTAGATATAAATACAGCGGAGCCTCAACATTTCTCTGCAAAATGTAAGCTCCTCTCCGTAAAAAAAAACTCCAACTTTGCTTTTATCGTTGTTTCGAACTTCCGATGGAGAAAACGAAAGTGGAAGAAAAACAATTTGGGAGAGTTGCTATTTACACAAACGTCCTTTAACCGTTTAACCTGTATTTTATTTTATTTTATTTCTAAAAATTGAAAGAAATATGTCTTTTGTTTATAAAGTGAAAATAAACTTGCATAAAATATAGGAGAATAAATTGGCAAGACTAATTTTAGTACGACTGGTCCGAACATGACAATTCTCACATCTTTAATAGAACCACATGTGATTGAGTAGAACAAAAAACGAATAAATTAGGATTTAAACGCGTGGAAGTCCATTAACGAATTTAGTCCAAAAATAATTTTTTTATTAAATGTTCGTCAAATACAAAGATAAAAATATACCTTGACGTGTGCACATTCTTCTTCCTCGTGTATCTGCTGACCCTCTAACTTCTTATATAAACTGCAGTTGTGAGCCAGCTTTTGAAGAGTTCCTCGCGGTCTAGGAAAGTTTTGCGACAAATTCTTAAAACCAAGCACCACCCGTTGCAACCGAGCTCCTCCATATAAGATCTCAAGGTCAACTCCTCGACGAGGAGAAGGTTCACAGTCAAAGTATATTTTTACCCTGTATTTAACGGATATTTATCGGAAAAATTACTTTTAACCTACATTTGCCAAAACACTACACGAAGATTCAAATCCTAATTTTCTACCACAGAGCTATTTTCGATTGCCTTATCACCACAATCACTGTTTATCCAATTTTTTGTTTTTAGTCGTAATGAGCACAGTTTATCCTATTAGGCCATTGTTGAAATTATCTTTTCTCAGTAAAAGTGGATCACTTTATCAAAAATACAAATATTAAATCCAACATAACCTGTTATTTTTTAGTACAATGAACAAATATATAGTATAAATAGAAAAAAAAAATTAATATAATATCTATAATTATATATATATATATATATATATATATTAAATAGCTTGGTTGGCCAAGATAAGAGACTTAATCATCAGCTTTGCTGGCCAAGTTAGGTCAAGATGCCTCTTTAGACATCTCATGACTCTGTCTTCCATTTGGTCTCTAGATAGAGAGAGAGAGAGAGAGAGAGATTTTAGATAATGTGTACCATAGTAGCATGGTAATAACAAAGACCAGAGAAATGTACCAAAGATGCGACTCGACGTGAATCCAGAATTTGATTCTTCAAAATCTGAGACATGCACAAATAACATACAGCAACAGTTAATTATGCAGGTTGACAAAAGCATGCGGTTATGATAATGGCAATACATGATGATCCTCAAACCGGTGGTTAAGTAGCACATTCACACGCCTGCGTAGACGGTCGATCTTGAGGGGGAAAATGGCATGAGCAGGGAGAAAGCAGGCTGATAGAATAGAGCTCAGCTCCACCAGCCAGTAAGATCAATCCAGTGGCAACTGATGTGTTTACAAGGACAAAGGGCGAGCGCAAACCCACCAGTTAAGTAAGCCAAATGGGGTTGTTCCAGTTACTCCTGAAACTGCACCCGCCATGCCTTTGATCAACATATGCAGCTCACTTTTTCTCATACCCAAAGACAGACAGCGAAGCAAAAGAAAAAGGGGAGAGGAGGGGGGTGATTCAAAAAACTAAAACTAAAACAGTTGCCATTGCATGCAATACTGAGTAATGCCAGCAATAAACACATCGCCACAAATCCAAGGTTCCTCCTAAATGTTTGGTTTGATGTGTTCTCATTTGTTCTGTGCTCAAATATGATTTTGATGTCTTGCAAGGACAACATAGAACACAAAGTCATTGCCTATGTCTAGCACGCATACAAACATTCAAAAGCTATAAAAAAAGGCCTTTGGATTGTGCAAGCGCAGTATCTTCTCTGCACTGTACATTTCCACAACACACAACACCAGAGCTAATGCCAAAGAAGTCGGATACCTCCTCACTAAGCAGCCAAATCAAAAAGTCACCTCTTCCGGCGCTTTGGCTCCACCTAGAACAAAATTCAAAACAGAAAACACCATCATTGTTAATAAGATATGATCCTTCACTGACGCAAGGAAAGCAAAAGGATGATGTTGATATGAGCTCAACAAAATTACATCAGAAACAGTCAAAACAATTTACTTAATACTCTGGTTTAGGCTTCAGAGAACTAAATGTGCCATTTTAACAGCATTACCTAAAATTAATTCCAATAGTTAACAGAGTATCATAATCACTATCCATAAGACCTCTCTCTCTCTCTCTCTCTCTCTCTCTAAACTTTAAGTTTTCTTTATCCACTATTTATTTCATAGGTTGTCACTGAATCATCTAACATTTTTGGCTAAGGAAAACCAATTGTTTTAGGCAAAGACAACGTCTCCAGCATTCCAATTTTCAATCTGCATTAACTAAGGAAAAATTGAGTAAATAGTGACAAAAGAAACAAACAAACACAAATTCTCTTAGTCTGGACAACTGCCTTAACCGGGATGCATTCAACAACATTTTGGAATTGGATGAACAAAACACACAGAATTTTTACCTTAGCCTCAACAGATGATGATACCGGGAATGTGTTCAAGGATCTTTTGGCATCATCATCAGATGAACATTCAGAACACAAAAAGTGCTCCAACTTTTTTGCATCTTCAATTGTCATACCCATACAAGAGGGATGAAACCTGCAAAAGATGAATGCAAAACACGAAGCATGTTTGTTATTACCATTTACAATGCCACCTTAATTTAATTGAGAACACCAACATTTAATTACGTCGCCGAGGCAAAGGCATTGTGATGGTAAAAAATTCCATCAGATAGATTGTGGACCTAAAATGCACCTGTCAAAAGTAAAATATTCCACTATCTTTGAAGTGTTTCTTAACAGCAACCAACCAATTTTCTGTTGACAGTGCACTTCATCTGATCTTATATTGCTCGAGTAATATGACAGGCTCATGCAAAAGTATCATAAGTAAAGGTTAAAACAGAAAAAGAAAATCACAAGAGCCAGCTTAAATTTTCAATCCAACTCCTATTGATATAGATATTGTCATCATTATTTCCATTAAGAGTTCCGCTAAAACCATTAATAAATATCCATTGAAATTTAATACCCTTCCTAAGATCAAGTTCTCAAGCATCCACCAAACAACTATCAAACTTAATAAACCAAAAGAAGACCTTGTACAATAGACACATACCATGTTAAGCATAAGCAGACATTTATTGCCTTAAATTCGGCAAATTAGAAGGTTCGAGATTACTGGAAATGAAGGTAAAAAGGGAAATCAAGTGAGTCCCCCGCCCCAACTCACATTATACATGGTTTTAAAAAGACAAACGCATTCCATGTATTGAGGGCTACTGAGATTGAGCCACAGTGCATATGTTTTGAAACCCAAATATGGTCAATAATACCTGATATTTGCTATGAATTAAAACTCTTCATGGAACATTCCACATGCTTCACTAACTCCTATACAATAAATGAAGCTCAATGTGTTTGCCATCGAGCAATCTGAAAGTTTGACAAACATCACATCTCATCATCTGCAATACCTAAGTAGTAATTGAATTTAACAATCATCACCTTCACATTCTACAAATGGAGTCATATGGCACTAGCAGTCACGATTTCCATTTTCTATTCTACACAACTACTCATCAATAAAGCTTCTAAAAGAAAATTGCATACACTTGATGATTATTGAAACAAAATGCATACAAACTTTGAAATGGATGAAAAATACCAAGCACAAAACAAGAGAGTTACCAGTCCTTGCATCCCTCACATTGCACCATAAGGTCATCCGGATTGTATGGCATCTCACATTTACAATACCTTCCAACACAATAACCAAAACCGAATAATTTCAAAAATCAATCATTAGATTCAATACCAATCATATATTTATCGGTCAGCGTTTGTGTGTGTAACAGATATAGTACAAAACAAAAAGAACACATTGCTTACACAGCCACACGGTCTGGTGTGAATCCTCCTGTGGAAGCCTTGTACTCAAATCTACAAAAGTAATCCTCAGCTCCCACATTCTCAAGCTTAGTGTAGTTCTTGAAGGAGTGCACTGTACACTTCCCTTCGATTGTGTGTGCACTCTGGACATCATAGTGGTCTGATAAAAATAGCTCCTTGGCCCCATGGAACTGTCTTCTTCCTCCAATTGATTCCTCAGGCCGATAATACCATCGAACCCGAACCTTCACATTGTTTCGGTGGTCAGCTTCGAGCTTCTCCACGCGTGCCACATATGGAGGCTTATCAGTGTCTGACGGCCGCATTAGCACACAATCACCAGCTGACCATTACAACATCAATTGAAATATCAATGCCACACAAAACAAAGAAACATTAACTTAACTTCATAACAGTTGACAAAAAACCGAGTCTTTAGCACCAATAATTTGAAATACTATGACAAGTTTTGGATTTCCAGAGCTCGAAATTCAAATTTTGAATCTGGGTTTTACAGATAACTTCATATATATATATATATATATATATATATATATATATATATATAGGTAAAGATCGAAATTTTCGCTCTCTGAAATCTAGATTTAATAACAAGTGAGACGATTTCGAGTTTTTAGAAGCTAAACTTGAAAAAATAAATTTTGGGTTTCTGTCAGAGAGAGAAAGAGAGAGGATAGTTACGTCGAACGATTTTGTTGGTCCCCTTGATGGTGTAAGAGTCAAGGTCCTTTTTTCCGGGCTTGGTCTTGGCCATGAATGTTGAGCAGCTCAACTTCTGCGATTTCAGACAGGCGGATGGCGGCGGAGACACGGAAGCCGGATTTAGGGAAAATGTTGGAAAAATGAGGCGAAATTGTTGTATGAAAGTGATGAATTTATATTAGGGTTTTGTGGATTAGATGGAGGGCTTTAGAAGGTAAGGGTTTAATGGCAAACGGAAACCCTAGAAATTAGAAGGTTTGGACAAACGGGGAAAGAGGGGAGGAGAAGATTTGGTCGGAAAGAGAGAGCGCTTTTGCTTGGATGGATGCGACTTGCGAGGATGAACAGAATGGATGGCAATAGCATCATGTATCATGCATTCATCATCACCACCATCATCATCCATTCTTCCATACATTCATGCGCATTTTATATACTAAAACAAAATTATGTCTTGCTTTTCTTTTTCTTTTTACTAATAGTGATGTCATCTACAATCGTCTGATGACTGTCAGCTGTTAATGTAAGTCGGTCATTGAACGTATGGTGCATGTTCTCAACGCGTCACTCATGTATGCATAAATGGTTCCTTCAAAGTCCAAACGCATAAATCTATGTCTTCAACGCGTCAACCATGCACGCACTAAACGAGTTCCTCAATGCACGTATGGACGAGTCACTCTAACACTACTTTTTTTTACACAACGATATTCATCTGAGTTGAATCTATGACTGCTCATTTACAATGGGGCAACCACTAATTATGTATCGAACGCAATACAAATTTAATACGTCATCGTCATCCATGTGAGTTGAATTTGTGACCTTTCACTACAAATGAAAATAAATACTCTTAAATTGTAGTACTGTGGTAAAACCTCTCTAAGGTTATCCGTTGGGATCAAACAAATTTTATAACTTTAGAGAGGTTATTACTTAATAGAAGGTAGTAAAAAAATATAAGTTATGTTATTTCCTAAATAGGATTTCTTAGGTGCCAAGTATTTTATTTTTTACATATTTTGGTAGTCGTAAACTATTATAATTATGTGAAGGAGTGTTTCCTTAACATGGAGCCAAGAAAAACTATAACATATTATAATATGAAACTTATTATAATACATAACTGAAATATCATATATTGGCTTAATAAATATTGCATTTTCTAAACAAGATTTTTTGTGTGCGAAGTATTTTATTTCTTGCGTATTTTTATACTCATTGACAATTATAATTATATGGACGGCGTGTTTCCTCAAGATGAGATTAGTTTAAATTATAAAAGGGCATGTTCAAGAATACATTTTGAAATAACTAAAAGTGTTTTTTGCTAACTAAAAGTTCTTGTTATTATATTTGGTAGAAAAATTTAAAATTGCTTGTAGGTTATGGAATCATTTTTTTAGATTATGTTCTTCTTCAAGAAGCATTCTCAAGTGTTTTATAAAAGCACTTGAATTTTAATAAAAATTTTAACGTATTTTTAATTATATAATAAATTTTTTAACATATTTTTAATTATATAATACAAATTTTAACGTATTTTTAATTATATCACTTCTAGATAAAGTGCTTCAGACATATATAATCTCAAACGAGCCCTTATCTATCAAAAATAATTTGGCCCTTATCTATCAAAAATAATTTGATGTGTGGTATTCACTTTTTGTGATACAAAGAAAATATTTTTAAAAAAATTTGGTGTTTTGTTTTCACTTTTTATGATACGAAGAAAAGATGAAGAATGAAAATGGGTACTGAGAGAAGGTAAAAGAAATAAAGAAAAATGAGGGAAACAAAATTTTGAAAGTGAAAACAAATTAAATTTTTTTTATTTTGTTTCTTTCTGTATACGTTTTCTTATACATTTCTTCCGTCTCTCACCATCTTTCATCACTCTTTTTCATCTCTCATTTTCACCCTATATTTTACCGATATGGCAATCACATAAAACAAAAAGTAAAAACCAAAAACCCAATAGCTATCAAACAGACCATTAAGTAGTAGAGAGATTTATAAGTGGAACTGTAACATCGCTTAATAATATACACTGAAAAATCTTCTATGTGTTCCTAAAACACTTACCATGTGTTGCACGTTTTCACGTTATAAGATGTACAAACGATATTCTTCTTCACTTGTAAGGAAAAGAGGAATGAGTCTTATGTTCGGTACTCGCCAAAGGTGAAGTTAAACCACATTATTATGGTAAGCCAATTGTAAGGCTTATCTCACTTGTCTGTCCTCTTAGTGTAAATACTATCGTTTGTTTAAAAAGAGTAAATAAAAAATAAGTACATATGATATAGCTTAAATGCAATTATAACAATACATGACAAGTATCCATATACGCATAAACAACGCATGACAAGTATCCATATGATATAGCTTCAATGCGACTTTATTGGCATAAACAACTTATTTCTTCATTAATTGGGTGGTTACCACGTAAGTATATCTCCTATGTGTACTGTGAAACAAACTATATGATATGTGACTTTATTGGCATACGAAGACAAATATACACTAAATCATATCATTACTTGTGAGCATGTGACGATAGTGTTTTTGAATCATCAATCACTTGCGCATAAAAGACATATCAAGAGACTGATGAGAATACATTTTGTTAGAAGAAATATGAGTTCAAATGGTAGAATACACCTAAATTAAGTAGCATAGATAGTTAGATACTTTAGATTTTGCGTTCATATCTTCTTTAGACATGGACTATATGATTCATATTGCTATCTTATTCTCTTTTGGGTGTCTTTTCTTTTCTAATTCTTAATGTGCACATGAATTTTCACATGCTGTAAAAAAAAAAAGTAGATTTCTCATGCACAAAAGAATAAGAGAGTGGTGAATCGAGAAAGTATGTCTAACTGGTTTTAGTTTAATAATTTAAACACCTTTACATGTGATCGTTTTCGTGATTGGGCAATAACAAGCAAACATCTTAACACGAAGAGAAGGTGAACAAACTCAAACTCAGACGCTTTCACACCTGTTTTTTGATCGCTGGATGCAGCCTGCAGTGCCAAATATGTAACACCAAACACTCATAGCCATAGGCACTAGAAAATTAGATTAATAGATATTGGCCCAAGTTTTATTTTCCAGTTTAGTATTTTTTTTTTTTTTAATTCTTTAACATGGACCAGTTGAGGCATAAGTGTTGTATATTATTCGCTAAGCATATTTTAAAGAAAGATATGCTAGTTAACACATTCAGACGACTGATACTAACACAAGTCATTATTTAAAAAAATATGCATTGGCTAGTATTTGGACGATTGATATTAACACAACTCATTACTTAAATGACGGACAAGAAACAAGAAACAAGAAAGTTTGGTTTTACACTCTTTTTCTTATTAAGGTAATGAAGCTATGAGACTACAATTCATGTTTTATCTATTATGAATTTGCTATCTTAGGGTTACCTACTTTTTGGTGCTTAATTAAAGTGGGTTCTTTTATGTGGTTGTGAATTGAATATCATTTCGGATATATTCACTCCGAGTTCAGGTCATTCGTTTTGAGTATTAATCAACCTTTTCTTTTTCTTTCATAGAACACCATGCATACACACTCAACAATTAATGTCTCAGTTTAAGCATCTACTCATCCAAATTATCATAAATTACGTCCTAATACAAACAAGAGTTGAGCTTCTTTTCCAAAATATTGGCAATAATCAAACTCGATTTCAGGGGAAATAACAAAGTAAAATGGAAATTAAATTGGACAAGCTGGTATCAATCATCACGTGTAATATGTACAAAAAGAATGGAAAAAAGACAATTTCTGAATAAAAGTGATTTATGCAATCTTTCATTTTTTTTAAGGTATTTTTAGTCATCGAATTGAATAAATTACAAGAGAATTAAAAAACAAAATTAAGTAGAAGAGTGAAACAGGTTAAAAGAAGTGTTGAAAGAAAAAAACAGGTTAAAAGAAGTGTGTAAATCATTTCTCTTTTTGAAATTGTGAGAAGCTAGCTTGAGGCAGGACTAAAGTAGAAGTTGGTGCTGCAACATAATTTAGTTGGCGAATTAAAAAGTTAGCTAGTTAGATATGTAAATTAACACCGAAGTCTTAAAATACGTACATAATACATATGCATACAGAAGCCCTTTATCTTATGTGATCGATAGTAATAATTAGCATGGAAATGTGATGATCAAAGGAGAGTAGATGTGCAATCCATGGAAAAGGGATTGCGGATTGCATTGTCCATACAGAAGTTGGGATAGTGATGGTGTTGATGAAGAGTTGGATCCATCAAAACAAATTGCATGTCTTCTGAAGGTTTCCAATGGCGTTTCCTTTGGTTGATGAACCAATTATTTATCTGTTTAAGTTCCAAACCAGTTGATTCTGCCATTGCTAGCTTCTGAGCCTCCTGCATTTAATAAACAAGGTCCCTTTATAATATATCGCGCTACCACAACAAGAAACCAAATATTCGAGGTATAATGTTTGCTTATGTTGTTAGAATCAATATGAACTAAGACAACAATCAACATGATGTATGTCTACGTTTGATTATGTTGTTAGACTGGATAGGAACTACAACAAAAATCCACACGATTAATGTTCCGGATTTGTACATTTAGAATGTAAGGATCTAAATGAACAAGGATATAGATGAGTATGAAAAATATACCGATGGATAGGGCCACTTGTAATGTCTGCACCACCAGTCAAACAACTGGTGCCGTGCTTCCTTTGGCAATTTTCCATTCTTTTTCTTCTTCATAAACTCCTGCTTCAGAGTGCCCAAATATCCACTGTATTTGTGCAAAAGCTGAACTTTGAGTTCTCTATCTTCAGCTTGAGGATCCATGTCATTGATCGCATTAGCCTCTTCTGGAGATCTACCTAGTCCAACAAAATCGCCACCACTAGTACTAGCTGATCAAGCATGCCACAGGATCAGAGAAGAGGAATGTTATAAGGAATATAATATATAGCCTAGACAGGAATAGTAGTCGAACTCCATGAACCATTAAAGCTTACAAGTATGTCTGGTGGATCGAGAAGAAACTTAATACATAAAACTTTCCAAGCAAGTGAAAATGACCAACAGAGACGAAGTTTGGATGACAGTCTATCATACAGATTACATATATGGAAATGGTGAACGCAGTCAAAGAATACACCATTTAGAAGAGAACATTATATTCTTTATTTAGTTGGATTTTTAACAAATGTTTGCAGTTTACCTGACAAATAATCACTTGACGATGACACTTAATTTTTCTCTATCTCCTTCTTCATATATGGGATTTGAAACACATGTAATATCTTCACCTTGTGCAATTAGTACTTATAGGTACTCAGTGCCTACGCCTATTTAATTAACCGTTCGATTTGATCCTATGGCTTAAACTAAGTGACTGATGAAATCCAACGGTCACATGTGTCCTTACAGAGTGCTTGTATTAACTAGGAAAAAATCGCACCTTTTATAATATCTGTCATTAGTTACAAGTCTCAAGATCTATATATTTAGATGTCCCAAAGTCTAGACAACTACAGCGAGAAGAGAATCAAAGGTCACAGACATATCTACGGAGTCATAGATACACATATATACGAGTAAGTTCTCTAGCTTCAAGAGAAAAGTTTGCCTAACTACAAACTAATCGTATGGATTTTCTTTCAATATTTTTTCAAAAGAAGTTAAGCACAGCAGGAAGCTAGCTAGCTAGGACATCTACTTTTTTATTGTACTGTTGAAAAATCATTAGGACCCTTTACTTTGTTATGTATCTGACGCGATTAAAACAGTTCATCAGGATGCAGCTGAAGATTTAAGGAGTGATTAGAGAAATTAGGAAGATGCATGAGATCATTACCAGACTCCGAAGAGGAATTAGAGTTAAAAGTAAGAGCTTTGAGCTGGGAGTCAATATTGGAGAGGAAAAGCATGGCTTCTTTGAAGGGTTTTGTGAGCTCTTCCTCGTACTTGGTCAGCATCTCACAATATGCCTCCATGAACTGGTCCAGCGCAGGGTCTGGATGATCATCTCCTCCTCCTCCTCCTCTTATGCTACTCCTCTTTGCTGCCTCAGAATTATAAGCACTGCAGACCTGCTCTAACCTAGCCACCACTTCAGGAGGTGCCCCAACCTAAACAATTAATAGATCTCATTAACCTTTTTTAATTAATCAATTTCTCCAAAAACATGGATCACAGATAACAAGGGCATGCAGAGAGAACTCGTAAATCTAAAACCTCGCTAGCTAGCTAGCTACCAACTTATGACAAATAATCATTGATAACAATATTCAAAAGTTGTAAGTGGCAATGCAAATGTTTAATACAGGTATCTGCAGATTAAATATATCCTTTCATGGACCACAAATTTTTATTTATTTATTGTTTTTTAACACAATGATATTCTAACTTATTCTGAATTACGGAGAAAGAGATCTGAATTTAAGGGGTGATTAGAAAATTCTCTTTTGAAAATTGGGTGTCTCGGAGAGAGAGAGAGAGACCTTTTGGCAATTGACATAGGCAGACAAGAGGCGAGGGAAGAGGGGGTGAGCGATAATCTTAGCTTTCACGCCCATCTCCTGATCAGTAGTCTCATGAGGATGGCTTTGTAAGTTATTGTTGATCAAAGGTAGAGAAAGAAACTGCTTACTATAACTGTTACTACTTGTAGTTCTGGTTTCTGAATTCATTAGGGCAGCAGCTAAAGAAGACTCCAGAAACCCTAAATTACTACTATTGCGACTGCTTCCTCCTTCCATATCTCTCGCTCTAGAAACCCTAATTTACATATTCTCTCTGTCTAAGCACTTCTGGGTCTGGAAGTGGAACTGCTAGCTCTTTCTTTTTCAGAAAAGGAATTGCCTCCCGGTTTTTAAGCTAAAACTCCATAGATGACGTCGACAGTCTTTGTGTACAGTGCTTTGTTAGTCAGTCAAAAAATTACAATACGACAGATAGGTATCTATCTATCTGTAAAATTAAAGGTGATACTTGACAGATTAATTCAGACCTCCCTCGGAAATGGCTACTTTTCTTTTTCTTCTTTCTGTACATAAACGGAAAGGGCTCCTCTTCAAATTCCTTTCACCTGGACCAATTGAACAAAAAAATCTTGATCTTTAAAATTTGATCCAATTATTAAAATTATTATAACTTTAATAAGATCCCTATTTTTAATCGTTGGATTAAATTTCAAGGATCCAGATTTTTCACTCAGTTGGCTTAAGTGGAAGGGATCCGAAGAGGATCCCTTTCCTACATAAACAGTAACCTCTTATGTCTCTCCTCTCTCTCTCTACTCTAGGTTGGAAAAAAAAAAAAAAATTCAGAAGGGTGCACGCGGAGTTAACGTGTGCCTCTGATGAGAAGCTCAGAACCTTTTCCTTCCCGATGAAATTAAAAAGCAATTTGTGTGTGTGCAAATTATTTCATCTCCTCGTTTATTGTACAACTCGCACTGCTGCTTCTGCTCCCGCTTGTGCACGTTGGCCTTCTCTTCTGTCCTCGCTCGGAGTTGAGTCACTCCTCAGTGCAGAGAGAGAGAGAAAAGGGTTCTGTCTGTCAAAGTCTGCTGAGAAATTGGTGTTAATGATTATTCTAAATCTTAGTTTTTTTTTTTTTTTTTTTTTTTTTTTTTTTTGTCATGGATTCTAAATCTTAATAGTTGAAATACTAAATTTTTACCATTTCAAAGATAATTTTTTTTTTCTCTCAAAAAAGAGACAATTAGTAGCAAGTTACGATTATCCATTCATTTCTTTCAGGTTTGGTAAGGTTATAAGCAATTTCACCCTGCTCGTGATCATAATCAAACAGACTCACCAGCTTAAAGCATCAAACTTGAAACTTCTCATATTATTTTTGTTTATTAGGGAGTCAAAATCCACATCCTTATCACTGGGTCATTTATGTCATTTACATTTGAATATTATATCGATGATAAATTAATTGATATGTTATTGGTGTTTGATTTTGATCATTCAACATATGAAATTTGATTCATCATCATTCAAGTTAATTTTACACATGGTTGGATGCTTATGTAACAACGCTGAACAGTGAATCTTAATTTTAAGTTGAACATGTTCACAAAAATTTTAAGTTGAACATATTTACAAAATGAAATAATCTCTGTGCAACATTGTTACTTATTTATAGAGAAATTAAGTTTTCATCTCTCTTCTTTTATTTCATTGATTAAAAACTTTATCTCTTTGTAATTTTTTATCAAGGTATTTATGTTTTAATGAATGTCATTATTTTCAATTATGCTATTTACATACCAGCATAATTAAATTTTATTAAACTTTTTTTTTAATATTCATTTAATATTACAAACATTACATTTAGTATATTTATATTAATTGCTAAACTTTAGACCATATATTTCTATTTTTAGTTTGTACCCAAATTTAATTGGCAACTCTTTCTAAAAATTTATACTAATTTTCTTTTTAGTTTTAATTTGTAGCCATATATTAATTTCTTTTTGTGCTGTTTGAAATTTCAGTAGTACTCAATAATTTTTTAATCTTTTATTTGTACTCACAAAATATGGGAGTATAAATCTCATAAATGTCAAACAATTAATGACAAATATAAAGAAATATACATATTAATAGTAATATAAGTGTAGAAATTGAAGGGATTTTGATCAAAATTATAATATTTTAAGAGTTTAGTGAAAGAGTGTTAGTGAATTAGAAACTGAATCCAAAGTTTTTCCTTATTTAATTACTAGTGTACCCTATTTCTGCTATTTTTTTAACAAATGACATTATTTACACTAATAGATAAGGAGTGGACTAAGTACGGTAATAGGTTAGCCATAATAATGTTGTTCAAATTCGTATTTAGCAAGAATCGAATCCAAAACCTCTCACTTACAAATGAAAAAGAATATCACTAAATCATAATTTTAAGTGAATATTTGATAAAGATATTGGTTTTGATGATTGATGGAAAATGATCAAATGTCAACCGTCCATCTGGGTGATTGATAGTCGTCAGTCACATTCCTTCAATCCATCCATCCAACAAATATTCTGTGGTGATTCCAACACTCTCCTCCATTGCCCTATATCTCACATCTCTATATTTAAACCTAAAACTTTTTTCTTCAGTGTTGTCGAAAATGCTATGTTAAACTGATTAGGGATGAAATAGTATTAGAGTAATGTAGGTGACATTAAAATTTTAAATTAAATTTTATAAATCAAATAATGTGAATATTGATAATTAAATTATTCATAATTTACAATTTTAATTTAAAATTTTGATAGGATTTGGGTTGATGAGAAAGTTAATGGGACAGTCCAAACGTCCCTTCCGTCTCTCCCACTCCTAATCCTGCAATCTTCCCTCTGGGACCTTTTTGATTCTTGCATTTCATGGCCACTATAAAGTTGAAAATTACGATATGGCAAACATTGAGATGACAATCTTGCAATTTTGCAAATGAGGTCAAGCTAAACCCCTTTGTTGCTTTAAATCTTATAAATATAAATCTACCGATCTTTCCAGTGTTATCGAGAGATTGGTAATTGGGAAATACTAAGCAGATTTTTTTAAAGTGGGATTTTTCATGAACTTTCTATTATCTTATGTTTTAGGCACAATTTCTATACACACATTATAAAACATTGTGTCAAAAATATGAAGTGACCGAGAGTCTATAAAGAGTATCACTTTAAAAAAGTTTCCTTAGAATTTCTCTTCTTACTTTAGGGCTAGTTTAAGCCCTCTTTTTAAGTTTTAGAAACTAAGGCTCGTTTAGAAGTACAACATTTTTAGTGAAAATATTTTTGAAACCAATTTTTAGTAAAAATACAAGTGAATCATGAAAAGATATTTGACGTGCTTCCTAAAAAAACAATCATGAAAGAATCCCGAAAGCACTTCAAATACTTTTGGAACACAAAAATATTTACTTTAAAAATGCTTTCAATAATTTTTAAAACACTTTCAAACGAACCGTAAACTTACCCTCTACCTGTATATCCTTTTCATGTCCCTCTCTCTCTCTCTCTCTCTCTCTCTCTCTCTTCACAAGACAAAGTATTCTAAAACTTTACCTTACACCTACTTTAGCGTTTGTCCAACTCCTCGCATGCCAGAAATATTCTACTCAGTTATGTCTTTCCATTTTTGAGGGGTACATGTATTAAAATATGGGTTTGCCAGCTACAAGCCCACAACACAACTCGTGAAATGTCAAGATATGATGATTGTATTGCCTTTACTTTTGTTGGCCAATACAATGGCATTTGGTTTTGGCAAACCGTACTATAACATGACAGTACCGCTTCAATATCCGATACTTGAAAAAATCTCTCCGAAACTTAGCACCTCGTTTGCGGAGGTAAATAATTTGTTGGGCAACATGATAACAAAAGAGCGCTAAAACGAAAAGCATCTCGTTTGGACTCAAAATGAAAACTCATATACTCCACCAAATGATCTGATGGTTTCAACAATCTACTTACCATACTGAACTTCGTATGCTTTGCGAAACAGATAGTCTACTGCATCACAAAGCATAAAAGTTGTCGTCCAATGATTTCATAGCTAATTCTCAAATTTCGTCGGTATAACAGAAATTCATCAAAGAAAAATAAATATGAGCTTAGGACAGATGTACTCCGAATCTAGCTTGCGGATTGATGAGCATGTGTTTGCAACCTCCTAGAGTTTTTGGATGATAACGGAATTGGATATACCGGCCTGCTCTATTGTCTGGTCCAGATCCGTGAGCTGTTTGGGAGGGAACCCCATCGTCTGCAGTCGGTAACTTCTTGCCCCATCTGGCCTTGAGGCATCGATAAAAGCATGTATGTCTCTGATTGTATGGTGGTAGTTGAAGCGAGATACCATACGCGTGCCATCTGCTAACCTTAGCTGAACAGAGGTTGACGGCAATGACTGATCCACAACTAAGCCCACCGAAGGCAGTGGAGCACCTCCAAGGGGAGGAGCGGCAGCAGTTGACTCAGTGGTAGCTGCAGCAGAGCTGCTGCCACCTAAAGTTCTTCCAACACCCTGAAAAGCAGCATGCCTCTTCACTGGTTCCTGCAAATAATAAGCTCAAAGGGATCAGAAAGATTGCACCACTTGCATATTAATAACATATACCAGAGTAGGAGAGATTGAAGCACAAACAGGATATTCTTCATCCCGCCTCATAAGATTAACATGAACAGAGGTCCTCTTATTGCCTGGTTCAAGCTCTTTTGGGCACTCAGACTTCTTGATGCTCTGCATTCATAAAAACATAACATCTCCTATCACAACTAAGAAAAGAGATCAAACCAAAGGAAAATACAAAGAAAAAGAAAAATGAAAATCTATAATTGCAACAAAAGGCAAAAGGAGAGCTACTAATCAAAATAACGAGATCAATATACGTGGAAGTAAAGATGTTTTGTTCATCATAAGAATTATGGTCTGTTTCACAGATATGCAAATTCTAGCCTTATCATCATTAAGCCAAACTACTCTTCTAGGCTTCAAATTCTTAGCTTAGCCAAATAGTTAATGACTGTCAATACGTTGTTTTATACATAAAGAAAGTAAGATCACCCATTGTTTTGTACATTGTAGTTTACTATGTGATATTTTAAGAGCCATTAGATGTTTTGAGACAACATGAAAGATAGAGATCAAAAGGTCAAGCATTACTTGACTAAGCCAAGGATCCGATCCCTTGATATAATACTTCAGTTTTGATATCAATGCAGTAGAAAAGAATCCACTAAACCCTATATAGGACAAGCATCATTAGAACTTACTTCCAGGAAGGGTGCATTTTCGGGGTCATCCAGTCTCCGCAAAGGACCATCATCTACAGAAAACCCATTCCTCCAAAAAGTGATAGTGTGAACGATAGTTTCAGGTGGCTGAGGAGCAGCAGTCGGAACGGTCTCCCCTGAAAGCAGTCTAGCTGTTCCACTGAAACTTTTTGAGCTTGAAGAAGGCTGATGGACATCTAAAGGTCCTTGTGAGGCTGCCAGCTGCCTAGCTTGACTGAATATTGAATCCACATCGCTACCTTTGGTAGGGTCTTGGACAAGCATTCCACTGGAACCAACAACCGTACAAATTAAGATACCAACTAATTGCATAATCAAAACATGAAAACAATTGCAAATTTATACATACCGAAAATGTTTTATATCTGCACAAAATTGAATTCCACAGATGGCTCATATGCAAAAGCAAGAATGTTACAAACGGAACTCCATTACGATACTAATCACAACTTTCTTCAGTGTAAACATAATCTACTTGCAACCCATTACGATTTTATTGACAACGAATTCAAATTTTCTTTCTTTTACTAACTTTGGTTTTTCTCAGCAACCAAACACAACGGAAGAATGAATGTCACAAAACGAAAAAAAGAAGCTAAATTGCGCTTTCTACCAGGTGAGTTGATATCTAAAAGTAAGCATTCAGCATTATTGATTAGCTTCCTGGGTTGCAAAAGGGTTAAAGAGTAACAAATTATCCAAATTAGGAAAAAATACCGATGATTGTCCTCCACATTCTCGGGAAACAAACAAGAACTAAGAAAGAAAGTACCTCTTCTCGCCACCAGTGTAGTACTCCTGGGGTTCATCGGAGTCACTATCGGACCCGCCGTTCGCCGGCCGATTCAGATCGGAAAGCGTGCGTATGCCACGCGGACGACTCGCAGACGGCGGCTTGGCATCGCCCTTGCTGTCGGCTCCACTAGAGGCGGCGCGCTTCGATCGGAGCTGGTAGGGCGCACGAGACACGGGCGACGGCGAGCGAGAGCGCGGCGGGGACTCCGAAGGAGAGTAACTGGGGGAGTGCGAGGGTGAGGGAGAGAGAGAGTGGGAGGCGGGGATTGAGCGCGGGGCGGCGTGGGTGGCCTCGTCGGCTGCGGGGACGGCGGCGCTGTTGTCCAAGAAAGTGGAAACGGCGGCGTCGAGGTCCCAGTTGTGGGATTCAAGGAAGAAGAGGGCTTCTTGCTTGGAGGCGGAGGTGATCTCGCAGAAGGAGTTGATGACGGCGTCGTTTTGGGGATTGGATTCTTGAGCTTCGGCTTCCATGGTTGTTGGATTGTTCAGTGTTTCGCTCCAGATCGGATTCTTTGATTGTTTTCCAAGGCTTTCGCGACTGAGTGAGATTAGAGAAAACTCCTAGCTTTTCGTTTGTGCTCTATACTTCTATAATTTATATTTAATATAAAGTAAATTGTAACAATGTCGGTTTAACTTTTCATCAACTTCATCAAAATTTTGTCAAAATAAGTTACGTTAGAATGACCATTATTATAATGGGATCCCTCAACTCATCAAAACGTATAGCTATGGTCTGTTTCATCAACTTTGTCAGAATTTTTTCAAAATGAATTATGTTGGAATGACCATTGCCACAATTGGGTTAAAGTTGAGAGATCATTGCTCTAATTGGGTTAAAACTGCGAGACTATTTCTCCAGTTGGATTAAAGTTGAGGGGTCAATGGTACTGAATTTTTAGTTGAAGGATCATAGCTGCACGTTTTAATAAGTTAAGGGACCAATGATAATGAATTTTTTGTTAAAGCACCATTATCCTAATTGAGTTAAAATTAAAGAATTATTGCTGTAATTTACTCTTATAAGTCGGTTTGTGATCTCAATTGTGATTAGACGGCATGCCGTTTCTGGGCATTCAACTTAATCAAATTTCATAATTCACTCGAGAAAATAAAAAACAAATTTAAATATTTCATGTCTTTTAAATATTTTGTTTCCGTATAGTTTTTTATGATTCGTTAAATTGCACATTTTAAACTCTAACATGTGATCTACACGTATTATACACTTACGTAATTTTCACGTTTAACACACATTATTTAGACATATTTTGTAATAATTTACAAAAAAATTACATACTTCTACCATTTATGTATCTTTTTAACAAAGTTATCAAATAATATACGCAAAAATAATCTTATATTTCATTTGAAAAAAAAAAAATCATATAATTAAATGGGGTCTGGCTTCATACACTTGCCAGAAAGAACACATGAACGGAGATATATCTATATTCTTATTGGAATATATTTTTCGCATGGATTAACACAACTACCTAAGAACTGAGCTTTGACAAGCTTCGAGCACTTTGTAAAAATTTCATTCAACTTGTATTTTGCATGTCACTCGGCCATTCACCTGCAAACATAAAACTCCAAAATTAAGGAACTTTTAGACGCAATTTTATAACGAAGAATACACAAATCATGACGAAGAAAGAAAATAATGTTGATGAGCATTTAAGTTACGGTTTTTAAGCATCGTGGGGTTAGACGTACATAGTTGTTACTACAACGAAGAAGAAACTAGTAGTCTGTAGAGTTAAGGTTAGGAAATGAATGTGCAGTTGAGCAAAGCTGCAAACTGCATGCAGTAAGAGTCTAAGAGATGGATGATCAAACGAAAAAACTTAATTACATTTCTAATTGACTTCTCCGCGGCCGCCAGTCTCTGACTGTTTTAATTTCTAAAACAGTTATGTACAAGAATCTGAAGAAACAGTGATCTGAGCTACATGCTTGAACAAAACTTGCGACGGCAAGTGCGTGACTGGAAGTGCTGTTAAATTTTTAAGATTCCCAAGTTCCTTCCTCCTAACAAGATACTATCATCACAAACATAAAACATAAAGCTTCTTAACCATATGTGAAGTAATTAGTGAAATGAATTAGTAAAAAAGTTTTGTCACTAATTAGATGTACGTGATTGACCAATCAAAAGCAATCATTCTCTTCAAATGACAAGGAATAACGGTCATCCTATTACAAACCACTATTTACAGCTTTCACAACTAAACGTCTTTAGTCATCATCGATTCACCATTAACATGGAACATAACTTACAGGAGTTCATGTAGGAAGGCGAGGAACCACAACAGGTCCGCCCCGAACTTTTTCAACAGCAGAAGTTACCCTCAATGGCCGACCCAACAATGCCTGCAAGCAGAACTACATCAATCAGAAAATCTTTTCCTAAAAAACAAACTTTGATCCGTGTCAACTATAGTTTTTGCATCACCTTTCCCTCCATGGCATCTTTTGCAACCTGGGCTTCATCTTCCTTGGAGAAATTAACAAATCCGAACCCCCTCGACCTGCCGGAATCTCTGTCATACACTATCTTCACTACATTACAGAATATGAACAAAGATTAATTCTTTTTTCAGGAAAACCATACGTAACATCCAAATCATTGTGAAATAAACTGCTAGCGATCATTGGGGCATTTCATCGAACATGTAGACGACTAAGGAATAGTACGCAAAATTTCGAACTGGGAAACCAAGAGTTTACCTTCGGTGACCTCCCCGAAGGATGAGAAAGCGTCTTTTAAGGACTTCTCATCCACCGACCATGACAATCCTGCAAAACCCAGAAGCCAAATCACCGTATAAACGATCAAAACACGAAAACTACATAACTTTGAAGGTGTATTGTATGTATGGGAAGGAGTAGAGAGAGAAACCTCCAACGAAAAGCTTGTTGTTTTGGGGAGGAGAGGAGGAGGAAGACGGTGGCGAGCAAAAGAACCGCGGACTTAAAGTTGGGTTTCGGAGTGTGGTGGTTGTCGATGCTGTCCGAGCAAGGAGCGTCCACAAAGTGTTGTTCCTCATTGATTACGTGATTAGCCGATGACTTGTTCCCTTCTTTTTGCGCGCCTTTGAATTTTGAGCTTCTGGTGGTTTGGCAGGATTTGAACCCACGCATTTGGGTTTGGGTTGGGGTTTGTCGGCTGGCTGAATTTTGAGGTCCATGCCACGTGGCATAGAATTTCTATGGGTTTAGGGCTTTTTTATTGAAATGCCCAGCTAATATCGAATTTTATTTTGTCATCCGAAACTCAAATAAAATTATTTCACTTTATTTTGTCCTTTGAAATTCAAAAAGCATCACTTCTTGAAACTCACATTGTGCATGTTTGTGCCTACACCATTGCGATCTCTGCCCTGGCTTGGGGAGTTCTCGAGTCAACTCCCACAAAACGAAAGACAAATATATTTAATTTCAATATTAGCTATGGCTCACTATAACTTGTTATGAATAAATTAATGACCCGTTTCAAACGTATCAATTAGAAGATAAATGTCGTTTGGCCACTTGAGCTACAAGCTCTTGGACTAAAAAAAAGCAAACCTATTCTGCATTTCCAAATGTACATGACCTAAATTTTTATTTAGATGTGAAACTGAAGATTGAAATTGATACGTTGTTTCCTACTTCAGTTCTTCCCTATGCTTGTGCTCCAAGTTCCAGCAGAAGAGTGTTGTTGATCGTATTTGCTGCAGACCCAACAAATTGAATCGGACCTGATCGAAAGCGAAAACTTCAGCAACTCAAAAACCTGACTTCCATACTCCGTAACAAAAAATTTACGACGATTTAAGTGTTATAACTAACCCGGATTAACGTAGCGATTCTTAAGAGCCCACTCGTCCCGGAATGATGCAAATTTTTTGAATGGTGCACCTGATATTCCACCAGCAAAGAAACATAGAAAGTGTCAAGAAGTGCAGCGTTGTTTGCAGGTGGATAATTAAAGGCTTAGACAAGTGTTTTACCTTCAAGTTCCACCATTGCTTTCTTAATCACAGGTTTGAACTTTCCTGCAAAATTCATGCTCTCAGAATTAATATATGCATGATTGGATTCGTTATAAGAGCAATCAAGTAATGTGGGATTACGAGCGATTTAGCTTGAATGAAGTTTTATGATCTTAAGCCGCGTGTTTTCTGTACCATGTCTCCGCTCCACATCCATTAAAGAAGTCAATGCCGTGCCACCAACCGTCCATTGCTCAACCGGTGCAGCCAGATTTCCCACCTGCATGCATAGTTTAAATTAGCAAAACCTTTACGACTTTAAGCATTTTGCGTAACGAAATAAACAAATTTGGTGAACTCAGAAAAATGAATGAACTATAACTTACGGAGGATATCAATCCTGTCTTTCCTGAATGAAGGAGGGCACCGGCGCCATAACCTAATGCATAGCAGTAGTTTGCATCAAAGTTTGTAGGAAGACCACATCTGCCCTCATAACTGCACGGTAAAAATCAAGTATCTGATACGATGAACAAAACATACAGCAATATGAATCATATGATCGAATGAACCAGATGAACAAATATGCTGGTACCCGAAGAAGTGTGTCTTTCCAGCAAAGTGACGCATATATGTACCCTCCTGCTTCCGTTTGTGCAGTTCAGTTTCTACCATTTGAAGAAGCATCTTTTCGGTCTCTATTTTTGCTACCTAAATGCTTAACATCATGTTAAGATTCAACAAATGCAATATTCGGACAAAGTCCAACGGATAAAGGACAAAGATATGACAATCAAAAGAATTTACCTGCACATTCCCGTGTGGATCTCTTTCGAGCAGTAGTTGCTCCTGAATTGTTTGCGGCAAAAACTCAAAAAGCTCAAGGGATTGGCTCTGGAGTTTCTGTTTCCACACCCCTGCTTCATCAACAATATCATGAGCTAAGATTTCGTTAAGCTCCGAAATTAGTTGCTGCACCTGCAAGTTTTATGGTAAAGCCAAACAAAACTTTGAGAATTTTCCAGCTGTCGAATGGAATCGAGCGAATTATATCCTCTTGAGTCTTTCAAAATGATACCTCTGGAATGAAATCAATCAGGCCTTCTGGTATAAGTATGACACCATAATTAAACCCAAGTTCCGAACGTTTGCAGATTATATCTGTTATATAGTCTGTTACACTCTTGAGTGTCTGCTTCTTGGCAGCAACCTACCGCAAAACGAAACATTGTCAAGTCAAAAAAGTTTACATAGAAACTGAAGGTATCATTTCCAATTAACATTGGAGCTCAAACTTGGAGATAGAAGGATATATGAAAATACCTCTTCCCCAATAATCGTGATGTTTGGACGAGTCTGCAGTGCACACTCCAAGGTTATATGAGAAGCTGCACGCCCCATAAGCCTTACAACTGCATAAATAGAAAATTAGGGAGGACAATCAAGAATAAACATTTACGGTCACAGTTCTTATACATGTTCCTGAAAGTCATCCTTAACTAAATGTGTATCTTGCAAAACCGTGGCAAGTTTTTAAAACTTGCTTGATGCCATCGGACAACATATAAAGCACGACACAATCTGATAACTGATTCTTTCTCCTACAACCAGAGCACTTACAGTGGTAGTACTTCCCAGTTGAACGGGCATCCATCATCACGTTACCAATCATTTCTGAATATAGCTGCACGTTTATCACAGTGAAGAACATAACAAGTACACCAAACGTAGATTAAAGAATGTACAGTTCTGTTTGTATGATAAGGTAAAAATTTGATTGCTTGTGTCACAATGTATAACAATGGCTTAAGAATTACCTTGCATGCAGTGTCGAATCCAAAACTTATGGGCACCTCTTTGCTTTTCAGATCACCATCAATGGTTTTGGGACATCCAATTACCTGTGTCTTCATATTTTTACCCCTAAAAAGCATAAGAGTCTTGAGAGATCTCAAAGATTACAGAAGCATAAATACTAAAGCTTGCTGTACAAAGTCGCAGATATAGCAGAACATTAACTTGGAGAGACATGTCGTACCTGAAGTGTTCAGCTAGAAGGCAAGCATTGGTATTTGAGTCATCCCCGCCAATGACTACAAGCCCGTCTAAATCAAACTTCTTTACTGTTTCTTCTGCAAGCTTAAACTGAAAGCATACACACTTCAGTTACCATATATCTAAAATTTGATCTGAGAGACGAAAATTTGTACAGAGATGAATTTGATAAACATGTCAACAATTTTACAGGAGCAATAAGTAACCTGTTCGGGAGTTTCAATCTTGTCTCTGCCGCTTGCAATCATGTCAAAGCCACCCTGTCAAAAGAGTGTGTGAGAAAGCACGCTGCAAATTTGATTAAAAAGCGAACTAGATCAAAGTCTCTTATAATGAACAAATTATGTGAGAGCAATCTACATGGAAAAAAAATTCTTGCAACACAAGAAAGAAGAAAGTGCTGAACATTGGTTGATAGATGATAATATTTTGAAACGAAAGATAACCTGATTTCTGTAAGGATAGATGAATTCCGCGGACAATTGAACATATTTACACTTCATGATCCCTGCCGGACCACCCTTAAATCCATACATTATGCTTCCACTAGTGTGCTTCTGCAAGTAATCTACCAAGAAAAAAGAAATAACGAAAAATTAAAAAAACTCTCTGAAGTGCTAAAGTTTCATCTGAAAATATCTGTTGTGAGCCAACTCAAGGCAAGAGCCTCACCAAATATCCCACAAATAACATTGTGTCCACCGGGAGCCTGTCCTCCTGAGAGAACCACTCCAATCTTCAAACTCGTATCCTTCGAAAGCACCGAAGAACCGCCTGGCCGTAGCATTGCTGAAGGCTGCCCAAATAGGTTAGGAAACAACTTGGCTATTTCCTCTGCACAAATACATTGAACAAAATTACATCACAAACGAAATGGAAACCCACCTCTCTTTATTTATTCTCTTTGATATATTAATCTTCATTTGAAGATCTCTCCTACCAAAAATCATTCGAATTAGAAATTGTTTTATCATTCAAATGTATTAAATATATGGATGGTTATCATAAATATATTACTTGGTAATACACCATCGATTTTTCTATAAATTTGAGTGACCAAATGATCATGAATATATTACTTGATAGTACACCATCAATTTTTTCTATAAATTTGAATGACTCAATGATCTCTGATTGAAATGATTTTTCGGAAAGATGATCTTCAAATCAAGATTAAGAAATTAAACGATTCCGATAATTGATTTTATTTATATGTTATTCAAAAGTATTATCCTAATATAAATATCCATTTATTGAAAAAGTTCAAAACTTTACATTCGTTTGGTTTTGGTAGAAAGACTGCAGTAATCAACGAGGACACTTTCATAACTACAGTAAATTGTGTGTAATTGATTAAAGAAGAAAGAGAGACCTGGGTTTCCGGCGGCGGAGCTTTTGGGGCCATCGACGACGCTGAAGGAGCTCTTCAGAACAGAAGGGAGAGGAAGCGGAACGTCGAGACGACTGGCCTGGACCTCGCTGTATGAAGAGACGAAGCGACCAGGCACTGCCTTGCCATTCATGGAGTACATCGTTGCCTTCAAACTACACTGCGAATGTGACAGTGGAGAGAGAGAGAGAGAGATAGAAGCGGTGAGTTTGTTATGGATAATGGTATCACGTACCTTGCGTTGGTAGTAGGCAGTCAATATTAGAGACCGTGATATTGGTAACTTTTTATACTATATCGAGAATATTCGAATTTGAGATTTCTCCTAACACTCTCGAACTAAAATACTATTAGTACGACGAATAGTTAGCGTATAACCCAAATATACATAGAGTTGCAAATTACTTTGACATATATGTGAGTCCTAAGATATTGCACGTTTCAATTACCATAGCTTGTTTGTTTTTGTTTAACGGTATTTGTCTTCGCACTAAAAGTTTTACATTCAATTCATATAAACAACGATAATAATATATTTGTGATCAGCTTGAAACTCAGCTAGCAAAATTGCAGTGACTTATTGTGCCACCCTTTTTCGGGATGCTTTTGGAAGGGATGCAACAATGTGTTCCAGACCACAGAAGCGCTTTTGACTGGTTTGGTTAAAAAAATAATAATAATAATAATATATATTACTTCATAAAAACGGTTTTATAGAGAAGCACCTGTCAGATACTGCTACAATAAGCACTGCCAAAATGGCAAGTGATTTTTTATAATGCACTTAGATCTTTAATCAAAACTTCAATGTATTCATAATAAACACTTTTAACAAAAGCATTCACGAGTGATTCTTATAAAAGTAATTCCAAACAAGTCACGAAGTAAGTTGGGCTATAAGAAAATAAAGAAAGAGGAAAAGGTCAGTATGTTGGGCTTGGTACGTAGAAGTTAGAGCCAAACCAAAAGGCCCAAAGTTCCAGCCAGGCCTATATAGCAAAAGGAGCTAAAATCTACTTCACCCGCTCACCCCTACACGAACAAGGCAGTCCCTTTTCGCCGCCGCCGTCGTCACTGGTTGCAACTCCGACGACAAACGTACATCATCTCTCTCACTATCTCTCCCTCTCTCTTCTATATAATCTGTCTTTCTTCCTCATTTTTCAGTTTGTTAATCTGCTACTTTTTCCTTTTCTGCGTTCTCGTTTTTTACTTTCTGTAGTTCATGAATTGCCCGGTAAATGTTGAATCTAACAGTGAAAAAACCCTGATTTTTGGGTGAAATGAAGGTAAAAGTTTTAGTCTTGAGAAGATTGAGCTTAATTACCAAACGGCTTAGTTTCCTTCCAGCTTTAGAGATAATACAACATCTTAATTTTGTTGAATTTGTTGAATTTGAGGAGTAAGTGAATGGAGATTTGGGATAAATTTAGTAACTTTTGGGTAACAATCCAAGTTCATGGAATTTCGGCTTAGTGAACAATTTTTCATTTTTTCTTTGTGATTGATCGTTACATGTTGTTCCCGTGGTAGTTTTGGTTGAACCGTGTAGTTGGTAGTGGTGAAATGAAGAGATATTAGTGTTCAAGGCCACTGAGCTTGGTTTACGGGTGCGTAATTGTTCTGATTTTTTTACCATGATTTATTGGTTAAGAGTGAAAACGATTGTAATGTAAACAAGGCGAATGATTGGCGCTAGCCCCTTTTTAATGTTTCGGTGTTCATCTTTGCAATTCTGTTTTGGTAGTGATTAAGATCCTTTAAGCAAAACTAAACCCTGAAATCTTCGAGATATGAATAGAACATTCGCGCTGCTTTTTCATAGGCTTCCTTCTGTATTCCCGAGTTGTTATGCTTATCTTCTTTTTGGAGTTTTTCTTCATTCTGATGCAGTGATGTATTACTAGTCTTCACATATATCGAAGTTATGGCTTTGGCACCACTTTGGGATTGTGCAGGTTGGAGAAGAAAATGAATGCTTTCAAGGCTTATAAAGCCAGTGTCCCAATTGCATGGAGCCCTAATCTGTATATAACTTTGGTGAGGGGAATCCCGGGAACCAGGAGACTTCATAGGCGTACTTTAGAGGCATTACGTCTCGGAAAGTGCAACCGAACTGTCATGAGATGGAACACTCCTACAGTCAGGGGAATGCTCCAACAGGTTTGATATAAGCTCTCGGTGGATGCATTCATAGATTAAGGCATCTTTCCTTCCGTAGTTGATAATGTTAGCATGTTATTTCGACGCAGGTTAAGAGATTGGTCGTAATTGAGACAGAAGAGATGTATAAAGCCCGCAAACAAAACTTGGAAAGCCACCGAGATCTACGCCCCCCTTTGGTCATAAATCACCAACCTGCTTCTGCAAGTGGTTCTTCTTAATGGCCTATGTAATTGTTTAGAGGTCAGCTCTCAGCTTCTTAGATACGTGCCTCTTGATCGAGGAGACTAATATTCCTGTATTTTTTTTATAAGCAGCCAATTCTGGATCCAGTTGTTTATCAATTGCATGTTTGGTTTTGTGTCTCAAAATCTGCAGTGGTTCTGAACTAGTTCATTAATGCTGAAACAAATAATCTTGCAACTAGATGGCTTCTATTTGGATATGCAGTATGTTGGATAGTTTGATTTGACGAATGCCTGATCTCTTGACGTGTCATGGATATGTTGTTATGCTGTAAATTTTGTTTTTCGGATGAATAAAAATCTATCATTGCATTACATTCCAGATCACACTGCATTTACATTGAGTCTGAGAGAGACAGCAGACAAAAGAAGGATTTAAATATCCAAGAAATGATTGATAAGCATACAATATTACACAAGATCCTTTTGGAAGCATATATGCTAGGGTTCTAAGGTCCTTCCTTTGCCTCAATTCTGATTATCTCTGCCATCTCTTCAACTGTTTTGATGCTCGAGCTCTTGAACTCCTTTTCGCCACTATCATCAGGGCTGTTGTGTTGATGGCCTTTGTATTGGTGTCTCATTGCAAAGGCAAGAAAAACTAAAAAATTTGTAGCTCCTAGCACCGCGAGGACCCAGTAGAAGTTATCTACCCTTCCCTTATTCAAGTTACTCCTCAGCCAGCTCTTCCTAGTCACTTTGTCCACTACCGTCACCAAAAGACTGCTAACGTAGAATCCCATTGAGATGGTGCTTAAGAAAAGCCCCGTGCTCATGGACTTCATCCTGTCCGGAGCCTCTCTAATGAAAAACTCAAGTTGTCCGACGTAGACAAAAGCTTCCCCTGCACCCACGAGGAAGTATTGTGGGATAAGCCAGAAAGCTCTTAGTTTGGTATTTTGGTGAACTGCAATGTTCCTTCTTTCTTTCTCTACTATTGCGGAAGCTACCATAGCCGCCATTGATAAAATGAGTCCAACTCCAATCCTCTGAAGGCTTGTTATTCCTTGGGCATTGTTGGTGAGTTTCCGAGCAAGGGGGACAAATAGTTTCTCGTTTAAGGAAGTAAAGATGAGGATGGTGATGAATAGAAACACCGAGAAAGAACCCGCTGGGATTTCAAAGGAGCCTACTTTTCGGTTCATGAAAGTGGCTTGTTCAATGGTGAACGTAGTCATCTGAGAGTAGACCGTCCAGAAGAGGATACATGTCGACCAGATCGGCATGAGCTTGAAAACCAGTTTCACCTCTTCAACTTGGGTCACTGTGGATACTATCCATGAGTTGCTTCTGTTTCCTTCATGAGCAGCATATTCATCTAGGATTGCAGCTTTGTCCAGACACCTAACCATTCACATGCGTAGATAAACAAAACCTAGTCAATGCCAGTGAAGAAACTTGATGTTTTAAAGTTAGATGGCCAAGTTCTGATTTTGCACGTATGCGGATATTGGATTCGGATATTTTAGGTTCCTCACGCCCATTTTCTCATTTTGCACGCACATATTTAAAAATGTGATTTTCTATTTATTCAATCCAAAGGCCAAAAATAGGTAGTGTGCAGGAGAGAAAATGACGTACGAAAATCACTTCCTGATATATACATGTAATAATGGTTTATATGTAAACTTACTTGAGCCTCTCTGTGTGGGGGATCTTGGCTTCTTTGCATCCATTCAAAAGGCTTGGATGAGAAGGATGAGGATAAGCCCTCTTCTTCCAAGCCAAAAATATCACTCTCCATATGACAGTTAAAGGGCTGCCTCGAGGCTTGCTGAACCGATAAAACGTCGTTCCTGCGAGCAATATGATGATCGCTATGATCATCGCCCCAGCCGCTATTCCATAACCTAACCCTCTGCTAACATTGACTTGCACATACACCAGCACAACGACAGCAAACAGGGACCCAATGCTGATGCCGAAGTAGAACCTGTTGAAGAAAAAGATCATGGCCTTCTCTTCCTTGGGGTCCGCAGCGTCGAATTGATCGGACCCAAAACCAGAGACGTTGGATTTTATGCCACCACCACCCAGTGCTGTAGTGTACAAAGCAGCATAGAGTAGGGCTAACTGGGTTCCGTTGGCCTCAATGCATTGATGGTGTTGCTGTCTGTAGTCATCACATGGAGGTGGTCTCATGCTATGAATCGATGTCGCCAATGTCAACAATATTATCCCCTAAGATGCAAGAACAAGAACAATTCAGTTTTTAAACTACAGATTTGGACTTGAAATTTTTCAAAAGTAGCAAATTTTGGATATGTAAAAGGCTTTTAGCCTAGTGTTCTAAAGTTCTCGAATCTAAGCAATCGAGGGCTTGAGCATATCGAAGGGGGTTCGAGCACTGCTGGAGCGGTCTTGGGAGAGCTCAAGAACTGCTTGAGGGGGTTTCGATTGATTCTTATTTATATAGATCTTAAAAATCATTATGCGCTTCCTAAAAGGTGAATATTTCTTGGCAGAATAACTTTTGCGGAGTGCCAAACGAAAAGTCAGCTAGAAGTCTTTAATGTGTATGTAAAAAGGTTAATATTGCAAATTGTCCTTGGCTCAAAACTTACCACAGCCGTTATGGTTGCAGAAAGTGCAACTGTGAGGTACCTTCCAAGCTTAGCATCTGCTAGGAACCCACCAAGCAGGCCAAGGAGGTTCAAAGTGCCCATGAAATTGGTCACTATGTTTGCAGATTTTGCAGAAGATATATGCAAAGTTCCAACCAAGTATGTTACCAAATTCATAGAAATTCCCATCACACATATCCTCTCAGCTAGTTCAATTCCTGCAACAGTCATCATGAAGAAAAAAAAGCACCTTAAGATAATGCATATAATGGCTAGACGCGATCCGTCCATAACTCAAACGTAGATATTATAAAGAGAGAATTTAAGTCAAGAAGTTTGAATAAAGCACCCAAAATAAGCCCTGCAGCAAGCCATCCGCCAGTTTTAGATTTGTCCGCCGGATTTCCTCTAAAATCCACCAAATCTCCATCTTCCTCACCTCTCCTTGAGATCAAAACCTGTTGAAGTAAAGGGAAAAAATGTAAAAAGAAAGAAAAAAACTCATTGAAAAATTTCAAGTTTTTAGCATAATATTGAAGTTGTATGAGTAAGTAGCTACCATTTTTTAGAGAGAGAGAGAGAGAGAGAGAGATAGTGCTTTTTCTTGTTTAGAATTTGCAGTAGTCGCATGAGATTCCCTGAATGATTGGAGGTTATAAAGAGAAGTGGGAGGGATGGGGAATACTGGCTTTGTCACGGTCTCACAATTTCTGGTGCATGGTGAAGAGCAGGTAAGGAGCTCCACATGGTTAAAGGCATGTGACCACTTTCGATTACGTAAATATGTTTTTTGTGGTTGCAACCAACAATGGAAAGTGACAATTCACATTTTTTTGAGACTTGAGAAGGGAAAAAGGCTGCCGCTCTATATCACTTAGATGCCATGGATAAGATCTTATGCGGAATCAAATAAAATGGTCCACCGCCCTTTCACAAATTTCTATCTTTCGAATACATGTAAATCTCTTATAAATTACACGTATCAAGTACATTTATATGACTTTACGTCAATAAAAAAATTTTAAGTTGGAACATACGTATGAGTTTACAATTTGTATTTCTTTTACTACCAGATTGTCTTTTTGCAGTTTTTTTTTTTTTCCTCAAATGGAGAAAGATTAGGCAAGATTAGCTCTTCAGCAATAGTTGCGTGCAAGGCACCTACCTTCTCCGAAAGGGCGAGGACCATTACTTATTCATAAATGAGTATTGTTAGTATTAACAAACCCTAATTAAATAGTTCTTTTCACTATTTGGTGCCCATTATTGCGTGCTTGATTTGAATCCTTTGCAACTGTTATAATCCTCAAGATTCACGAGTCATAATGTTGGATTCAATAAAACAAAAGCACCTATATGATAAGTTTAACTTTTCAATAATCATAATTAGCCAAAAAATAATGAACTACTTTTGCTGGACCGACCACAATCGTGTACAGGTGGAATATCCTTTTGAGTATTGATCAGGGCAATGTTGCTCTCAGTGCAGTGTGATACTGTTTAATTGTCATTGAAGAGACCCTAGGTGTCCATTCTCGGGGTTCTCTTTCTATGGTGTAGAGACCTCTTTCGAGGTACCATCAAGTTTTTACATTAATGATGCAATCAATCGTTTACGTGTGCATGAGTTAATTTATACTGTTATAAACTTAACCTAAACACGTTTTCATGACTGATTATATCGCGCCTCTTAGTTAGTTGAAAGATAATATCAATGCGCACAACATAATATCTGAGCATGTTATAAGAAAATTGAGCATAATTTGATCAAGGTGTAAATAAGCAATAGTATTAATGTTGGTATAATCAGCTTGATATATAGAAACTTTTGTCCATTACAATTTCATAATCAATGAGGAAGTCAAAGAAACAGATGGAAGAATTATTTCAAAGGAATCATAGCAAGCAACTTAAGCTTAATTTAGCTCTCTTTTTCTTCAGCAAATTTTGGAAAGTAGCCAAATTGTGTTATGCGGAAGGCTTTTAGCCAAAATTTTAATATTTTTAGCATTTTAACTACTCGAAATGCTTGATGGGGCCTCGAGTGGTTATAGTTCTAAATTATGAAGAAAGAAAAAAGAACGATTGAAAATCTTTCTGTGGAGGGATTTTAGCAACAATGCAGATTATATTGCCTCTAATCTGCATTTTGTTTGTAATGACTTTACTTCCCTCACTTTTAATTAATAGGGTGGGTTTAGATCACTTCTTCCTCACTTGGGTTGGGTGTTGGAACTGCAGGCCGTATAAGAAAACCATACTTTACTGACTCCAACTTTTTTTTCTCGATTTTTCCCAATATTTTGAAGTCTATTTTGCTCTTTCGTTTTGTTTACTGTTAACTCGACATTTCAGCATGTATAGCAGAAGCAACAGAACATGTTCATCCAAGGATCTGTTGCTTTGGTAAACTCACTAGATTAATTAACTGAAAATATGATTTTAGCCCTTAAAACTCAAGTTTCTTTACATAAAATTCGACATAGTCTTTTTACTTCAATAAAAACCAATGACTAGGCTCCAAATAAGCAAATTCATTAATTATGTTTAACTTTACACATTTTGCATTTTCCAGATACCTAAAATACCCCTAATTACAATTTTAATGTATACATTTAATTCTATGCAGATTTGAAGGGAGGGATTAATGAAAAAAATTGTATTAATGTTTAAATTCATTGCATATTAATATATCATAACAAATTGTATGTTAATGCTTCTGGCAAAAAAAAAAAAAAAAAAACATTAATGTTATACTTTCCTTCAAATTTCGTTATTGTTTTTCAAATTTGCATAAAATTAGACAATTTTAATTTAATCTCGTCAGTTTCTTACCAAATGGGAAACTGAAAGGGAACTATGGAGTAATTTACATAAAAATATAGGTAAATTATTTGGACATATGTGTTAGTAATAAAATATTTCCAATATTTGTAATAATGCATGCAAAATAATTTACCTACAAAATAAAAAATGTTATTTGATTCAATATTAATTTATCTGCATTTGATATAATAAAATATAATTGCACTATACATTATTGAGTGTGCCCAATATATGTAATAATGCATGTAAAATTATTTACCTACAAAATAAAGGTATGTAGGTTGATTAAAAAATAATATATCTCTACTATTTTTTGTTTATGAATTTTAATTTACTTTTTTTTTTGTACAAACATAATGTACCTACAATATATAATTCCAATTAAAACTAATATATAATTGCGCGCGCACACACACACACATATATATATATAGTAGTAGTAAAATGTGCCTGGTATATGTAATAATGCTTTAAAAAAATTTACCTACAAAATAAAGGAATGTAATTTGATTGATTACTCTTCATCCCAGATTTTCGTTCTATGTTTATACACATTCACTAATTTACCCAGTCTTGCTACATGTTGAGCAGTAACTTTATCCTTTTGACTGTCTTGCTTGAATGCATGCATGCATGCGCAGTAACTTTATCCTACTTTGCCGATGATTTTAATTACCATGTGAATTTTACAGTCAAAAGTAAGTTGAATTTGACTGTCAAAAGTAAGTTGGCATGTTTTGAGAGATTAGAGGGGCTCAAAACCATACAAGACTCTAGCAGCGCAATCAGAAGGAGGTCACAGAGTTTGGTGAGTGTTACTAAAACTTTCCCTTTATACTTATAAACACAGATAGTACAACGACGAATGGCACAAAATGGGCCAGAACACCTTTCGTTAAGCCACCATTACAATGCCAAAAAAGGGCTTACGAGTTATAACCCCAGCACTCTTTTTCCCAGTACAAATCATATACCTAATATGAAGCAACCAAATCCAAATTTTGCCCCTGATCCACATTCTCTTGGACCTCCAATTCTGAAAACTTTGCAAAAACCCCCACCAAAGGTGCTGTATTATAAGTGCAAGCCTCCGTCTGCATGTAATTATCCCTCCTGTCCACAAAATTATCTTTGCAATCAGGCCCTCCAACCAAAGCCCCGACCAAAACATTAGGGTTTGGCTCCTCCCTGGCGTACCAACTGTCATACCCCTGGGTGCACCCAATGAAACCCTTGTTCTCTCTATACGACTCCACGGATGCTCCTCTATGGTGTACCCTCTGAGGGTATTTTGGCCCATATCCCACCAAATAGCTCATGTTCAAAGGGTTGGAGCCCAAAATATAATCCATCTGTGATTTAGCAAAGCTGAGGACTTCTTCATAGCCCACCGTTCCGCCATGGCAACTGAGCTTTCCGTTCGAGGTTTTGAGGAAGTCCGAGTAGACTGTTAGGAGGAATGAAGCTGCTGAAACGTACTGCATGTTGTTCCATCGCCTTACGTACAGCAGGCCTGCCGGTGTGAGTTCCACATTTTTGGCCGCGGTATTTTTGTTTAGGCATGAGCACATGTAGTAGTCTGCTTTTGATTTATATAGCTTTAGTATGTGAGAGTGTTTCTTGTGTTTTTCTTCCAAAAGCAACTGCAGAGGAACAAAAAATAAGGAGAATAAGATAGAATGTACTCTTCCATGATGTGATGATAACACAACTCGAACACAAAATCGCGGATGCATAGGCAAAAGCACTCTAGAAGTGAGGAAAATCTTATTCGAAAACCAAAACTGCAAATGAAAAAATGAATGCTTTTAACTGCTTAATCTGTTTTTACTCATTGACAAAACAAACTCCCTTTCTCTTTTATGGAGTGTTTAACTTTCTTAAATTTTGAGGTTAAGGGTGGTGAATGCAACAATATCAAAACTTGATTCAAATATGACTTAGAAACAGAATCGTACATGCAGAAAATGAATGTTATTAAAGATTTAACTCATTTTATTGCCATGTAAGTACGAAAATATGACTTAAACTAAACACCGCAATTGCACATGTGAATACTTTTAACCACTTAATCACTTTCTATTATTCAAACACTTTGTACGAGAGAACAATCATAGTTGTAAAAACCTTTTATTAGCTAAATTTACTTATAATGTGTCATTGATTGTATACAATTATGTGTCATTCTCTTTTATCATATGATTATTTATCTGAATATACAATTGATGATACTATCAATTGATTTTCTCGTACAAGGGAGGTGTATACATCATATGAGGACACCTATGGCACCTTCTTCAACACGTGGGTTGATCTCTTGATTAACCAAGCTTAGGGAGGTTGTGCTTGCGCTTCATCAAACAAAGGAAGAGACTAAAATGAAGGAACTGCATCCATTCAGTTTTAGAAGTGTGCCATCGCCATGTAAACATCAGGCTCCACTTTAAGATTCAATACAAAACTGATTAGATCAGCGATCTTTAGTTTACTTCACTCCACGATGACATCTACTGATCTAAATGCAGCACCGTATCATCTCCCCATCTTTTACTTTTACTCCGAGGGCACAAACTCTACTCAGGTATCGCGCTGATGGAGAAATTTTTCAGTGTAATCGGAATAAAGAATAGTACATTATATGTTATTATACAAATAGGAAGATATTTGTGTTAAAAAGTTAGTAACTTAAAAAATAAAATTTTTTTACCACTTATATAAAAATACGTGATATATCACTCGTATTCTGGTTACAATAAAAAACTTCTGGCAAGGATGACGTTTGTACGTTCTTTCAACCACTCAGGGTGCGAAAAGTGGCGCAACTTTCCTCACCACGACCATGCAAAGCATCATTTTGCACATGGTTTTGTGCAGAAGGTAATTTTTTCCCTTTTATTTT